GACTCTAAGTCACAAACCGGATACGTGTATATGTTGAATGGTGGAGCAGTAAGCTGGTGCAGCTGCAAGCAGAGCGTCGTGGCGGGATCTACATGTGAAGCGGAGTACATGGCAGCCTCGGAGGCAGCGCATGAAGCGATTTGGGTGAAGGAGTTCATCACCAACCTAGGAGTCATACCCAATGCGTCGGGGCCAATCAAACTCTTCTGTGAAAACACTGGAGCTATTGCCCTTGCAAAGGAGCCCAGGTTTCACAAGAAGACCAGACACATCAAGCGTCGTTTCAACTCCATCCGTGAAAATGTTCAAGATGGAGACATAGAAATTTGCAAAGTACATACGGATCTGAATGTCGCAGATCCATTGACTAAACCTCTCTCGCGAGCAAAACATGATCAACACCAGAACTCTATGGGTGTTCGATTCATCACAATGTAACTAGATTGGTGACTCTAGTGCAAGTGGGAGACTGTTGGAAATATGCCCTAGAGGCAATAATAAAAGTATTATTATATTTCATTGTTCATGATAATTGTCTTTTATTCATGCTATAACTGTATTATCCGGAAATCGTAATACACGTGTGAATACATAGACCACAATATGTCCCTAGTGAGCCTCTAGTTGACTAGCTCGTTGTGATCAACAGATAGTCATGGTTTCCTGGCTATGGACATTGGATGTCGTTGATAACGGGATCACATCATTAGGAGAATGATGTGATGGACAAGACCCAATCCTAAGCATAGCACAAAGATCGTGTAGTTTGTTTGCTAGAGCTTTGCTAATGTCAAGTATCTCTTAGACCATGAGATCGTGTAACTCCCGGATACCGTAAGAGTGCTTTGGGTGTACCAAACGTCACAACGTAACTGGATGATTATAAAGGTGCACTATAGGTATCTCTGAAAGTGTCTGTTGGGTTGACACGGATCGAGACTGGGATTTGTCACTCTGTAGGACGGAGAGGTATCTCTGGGCCCACTCGGTAATGCATCATCATAATGAGCTCAAGGTGACCAAGGTGTTGGCCACGGGATCATGCATTACGGTACGAGTAAAGTGACTTGCCGGTAACGAGACTGAACAAGGTATTGGGATACCGACGATCGAGTCTCGGGCAAGTAACGTACCGATTGACAAAGGGAATTGTATACAGGGTTTGATCGAATCCTCGACATCGTGGTTCAACCGATGAAATCATCGAGGAGCATGTAGGAGCCAACATGGGTATCCAGACCCCGCTGTTGGTTATTGCCCGAGAGTTGTCTCGGTCATGTCTGCGTGTCTCCCGAACCCGTAGGGTCTACTCACTTAAGGTTCGGTGACGCTAGGGTTGTATGAATATGAGTATGCAGCATACCGAATGTTGTTCGGAGTCCCGGATGAGATCCCGGACGTCACGAGGAGTTTCGGAATGGTCCGGAGGTAAAGAATAATATATAGGAAGTGGTTTTTCGGCCATCGGGAAAGTTTCGGGGTCTCCCGGTAATGTACCGGGACCACCGGAAGGGTCCCGGGGGTCCACCGGGTGGGGCCACCCATCCCGGAGGGCCCCATGGGCTGACGTGGGAGGGGAGCCAGCCCATAGTGGGCTGGTGCGCCCCCCTAGGCCCACCCCCTACGCCTAGGGTTGAAACTCTAGGGTGGGGGGGGGGGGCGCACCACATGCCTTGGGGGGCACTCCTCCCCCCTTGGCCGCCGCCCCCTTGGGAGATCCAATCTCCCAGGGCCGGCGCCCCCCTTGAGGGCCTATATAAAGGAGGGCAGGGGGAGGGCAGCCGTACCCTTGTGCTTGGCGCCTCCCTCCCCCTGCTACACCTCGTCCTCCTCCCGTAGTCGCTTGGCGAAGCCCTGCCGGAGTTCTGTTGCATCCACCACCACGCCGTCGTGCTGCTGGATCATCATCAACCTCTCCTTCCCCCTTGCTGGATCAAGAAGGAGGAGACGTCTCCCGGCCCGTACGTGTGTTGAACGCGGAGGTGCTGTCCGTTCAGCACTTGGACATCGGTGATCTGAATCACGTCGAGTACGACTCCATCATCACCATCCCCTTGCAAGCTTCCGCACGTGATCTACAAGTGGTATGTAGATGCAAACTCACTCCCTTGACTCGTTGCTTAGATGAACTCATAGATGGATCTTGGTGAAACCGTAGGAAAAATTTTAATTTTCTGCAACGTTCCCCAACACAACATTACTCTAGCGCTACCGAATGTTAAGCGTGCGACCCTACGGGTTCGGGAATCATGTAGACATGACCAAGACACATGTCTGGTCAATAACCAATAGTGTGACTTTGATACTCATATTAATTCCTACATTTTTCACGAAGATCTTTATCGGTTGAATCACAACGTCGGGGATTCAGTTAATCTCGTATATATTTCGCTTTGTCCGGCAATATGTTATTTGCCCAAAATTCGATCGTCGGTATCTTCATACCTAGTTCAATCTCGTTACCGGCAAGTCTCTTTACTCGTTTCGTAATACAAGATCTCATGACTAAACTCATTAATCACATGCTTGCAAGCTTCTTGTGATGTTGTATTACCGTGAGGGTCCAGAGATATTTCTCCGTCACATGGAGTGACAAATCCCAGTCTCGATCCATGCAAACCACCAAATACTTTCGGAGATACCTTTAGAGTATCTTTATGATCACCCAGTTATGAAGTGACATTTGATAGCACACAAAGCATTCCTCTGGAATCCGGGAGTGGCATGATCTCATGGTCTAAGGAACATATACTTGACATGAAGAAAAGTGTAGCAAATAAACTAAGTGATACGATTTGATGCTAAGCTTACAGTTGGGTCTGTCCATCACATCATTTTCGTAATGATGTGATCCCATTATCAAATGACAACTCATATCTATGGTTAGAAAACCTTAACCATCTTTAATAACGAGCTAGTCTATTAGAGGCTCACTAGGGACATGGTGTTGTTTATATATCCACACATGTATTTAAGTTTTCGGTCAATACAATTCTAGCATGAATAATAAACATTCATCATGAAAAGGAAATATGATAATAACCAATTTATTATTGCCTCTAGGGCATATTTCCAACATGGCCAGCATCACCACCATCCTCTCGGCGACCACCCTCTCGGCCACCACCACCACCATTCCGAAGAGAGACTTCCGTTTGTGTCATGATAGCACGATCTTCGACTTTCCTGGCATCACGAAGCCTCTCATCCTCAAGTGCAAGTCTACGCTCCTCCACCTTCAAATTTCTCTCCCCAGACGCCAACTTGGACCTCCATTTCTCATCCTCCAACATCTTGAGCTCATTCCACCTCACCAACACCTTCTTGACCCCAATCATGGCTACAAGTTCTTCTTTGTATGCACCATCATATGCACTTCTCTTCTTTCTCTTCTTTTGCAATTTTGTTCCCTTCCGGTCTATTGTTGGCCTCTTCATCCATGTCGTCCTCCTCCTCAATGGATATGCTCAATATTGATCTTTTTGAAGTGGTATCCGCAACTCTCTTGATCCACTTCTCATTTTTTGCAAAGCTCTTTGTAGAAATGATATAAAATGAAGGGCTTGTGGCCGAACTTCTTGTTCCTATGCTTGAAGAGCTCTTGGATGTACGAGCCATACTCCATGACTTGCACATCACTAGGTGGTGCATGATTCACTTGACTGATGCAACTAGACCATCGGTTGCATTGGTCGTGAATGGTGCCCCAGCGATGCCCAAGAAACCCTTGTGTATGGCTTGATGTCACCTCCACGGATTTTGTCGTAGTACTCTGCAATTCTCTCCCAAAACTTGTCCTTGGATTGATTCATCCAAGCATAGCATAGGGCAATATCTTCAACTTGATTGTAGTTGTGAGTTCGTGACCTAGGCGTCTTCATGCTTCCCTCGGTCACCTCCTCAAATTCTTCTACATCAGCCACCTCTTCTTCGGCCACCTCTTTTTCGGCACCTCCTTTTGATGATCCCAAATCGAATTGCGATTGTCTAGCCCAATCGTAGCTGAGGACTCCAAAGACGCCAAGAATTCGACCGTCTTCATCTCCACAGTAGTACAACAAATCAACAAACTCCATCATCATCGGTCACCAACATTCACTATCAAATTCATCGGCCCAAATGAAAAGGAAGTTTTTTTTACCTTGTTGGCACTTGGCAGTCGCGACCCTTTTTGCTGGCAGCAACGACCGGACGTACCAAAGCAGTGGCCATAGCGGTGGCCAGAGACGCTGCATGAGGCGCCGAACATGGAAGGGGGTGGCCTTCTTCTTCTCTGCGGCCTCCTCGGTGAGGGCCGACGGTGCAGCCGTCGGTTTCCTAGCTCTCTTGCCGCCAACGGGAGCTGCGGGAGGGTGTCCACACCGACGGCCTTGGTTGCGGTTGGAGCCGCCGCTTATGGCCGGTAAAGATCTTTTATCCCCAACCTCTTTTTCGTTGCAGACGGCGGCGTGGGGGTGGTTTTCCGGCAGTGACAAGCCGACGACGGTGGTCGGCGGGGTGGTGAAAGTGTCTTGGCAACCCAATCCGGTGACGGGGGCGGTCATTGGTGGCGACGGCAGCGCGTGGGCCGGCGTCGGCAGGAAGGATGCAGCCGCGCGGGCGCTGGGTGTATTTAGCGGGAGGGGGTGGATTTCGGCGGAGGAGTAAAACATTTACTTCCTTGTAGAATGTAGGGAATCGGTTAGGTACGGTTTAGTGGAGTAAACTAGAAAATTACTCCACTGTACTTTTTTCAGGGATCAGCTAGAGATGCTCTGATCGAGAAGATTTATTATGATGACGAATGCTGAAGAGTTTAGCTATGTTGATCAACTTGCTCAGCAATCCAGGGGGCACGCTTGTCATTTCGGCTCCCTTCACTGCACAGGCAAACGACCGTCACAACTCACAAACGGCGTGTGCTCCCCTTTCGCTCCGAGACCGGCTACAAAGGCCCCTCCCCAACCGCAATCTGGGATTCTGGGGAGACCTCAAGCCATTAGCACATCCGGTTCACGACCATGGCTCTCCACCGCCTACCGCTCCTCCTCCTCGTCCTCACAGCCATCGTACCCCTGTTCACCGCCTCCGCTTCCCACAGCCAGCTCCCGCCGGAGCACGCCGCCGCGCGCCGCCGCCACCACCCTTCCCCCGCCACCGCCAGCCCGGCCACCGTCCAATTCCACCCCGTCACCAGCGCCACCTCCTCCATGCCCAAAAACCACCTCGGGATGGATCAGAGCCCGTCAACGCTCGAGGCCATGGCGGGGAACCCCCAGGCACTGCCCGTGCCACCCCAAGCAGCCACACCACCGCCTCCACCCCAGGCACCGGCACTGCTGCTGCAGGAGGACTCGGACTCGGAGGGGTCGTCATCTGCTTCGGCCTCTCCAGCCGCGGCCTCGTCCACGACAACGACGACGCTTCTACCGCTCCTCAACCAGCGCGCCGCGGCGGCATCAGCAAGCTCTGCGTCTCCCGTCCAAGCCGGCGTCGCGAGGGTGGTAGGCTGGGGCAGCGAAGAGGGGCTGCTGCCGCTGGCGAGGGTGCTTACCGCGCTGGGGTACGACGAGATGGTATCGGCGGCGACGCTCCACCCCAACTTACCGCGGCTCGCGAGGTGGCACGGGCCGATCACCATCTTCGCGCCTCCCGATATCTCCCTCCAGACCTCGTGCTCCATGTGCTCGCGCCGCCGCCTCCTCCTGGACCACATCGCCTTGGGCTACTACCCGTACTCCGAGCTCACCGCCGCCCCCACCATCAAGATTCCATCGGCCTCCGTCAACCTCTGCCTCAACATCGACACCGTGAGCGGCACCTTCTCCGTCCACCACGCCAGGCTCTTCGTTGAAGGCGTCGAGACTTCCCACCCTGAGGTCTACAACGACGGCCGCTACATCGTCCATGGCCTCCGCACCTTCCTGCAACCGCTCTCACGCTACTCCTGCTTCGACCGCTCGCACTCGTACCACTGCCACGGCGACAGCATGCCAACCCGGTCGGACGCGACCTCCGTCTCTATGTCCGCGATGCGTGTGAGCGTCAGGATCCGCGAGGCCATCGCCCGCCTCCGTGATGCAGGTTAGGGACGGCTTCATGCCGCTTGCCATGGCGACACCGGCGGCCACCGGAAGTCCTACGGACGTCGTGATGAGTTCTGAACTTCTGATGGTAATTTGTGGCTGCGTGGTTGTTTCGCTATCGAGTACTGCTTGAATGATTGGAATATGTTGGGAAACTTGATTGAGTTGATGCTCTCTGTTGAACTAGACTAAATCTCTTTTAGATCTTCATTTAGTTGCTCTGTTCATGATATCCAGGCGCCCTCTCCAGCTTGGGTTGTGGATGTGCAGTTCTGCCAGTGATAGGTTCGGTTGTCTTTCGGTCTTTCCTGATGTTCCTTGCTCCCGATATGCTGTGAAAATTCTGCTCCTCATCAGTTATTGTCGAAATGGCATCTCCATTGGTTCTTCATTAATTCAAACATTACATGATCTTCTGAAAATGTTGTTCGGTGGTAATTAGGAGTATAACAAGAGTCTTGGTTTGATCGAGCACCACGGTAGCAATTGCATGCCATTGAATTGTTTCTGTCAATAACTCAGTGTTTGGAGGACATGATCCCAAGACCACCCTGATTGCACTCCTGACTAGGTGGCTCTCGCGGATTACAAATGGTGAGGGTGGCTTATGGCTTCGCATCATCCAGCAGAAATACCTTTCTGGCCAGTCGCTCGCCTTCTGTCAACGGTCCGGTGGCTCCCAATTCTGGCAATCCATCATAGAACTCCTTCAGTACTCCGCACTGGGACCTCGATTGCGGTTGGATCTGGCACCGCCACGCTGTTTTGGTTCAATCGCTGGCTGGGGACGCTCCCTTCGCGGCGCGTTTTCCTGACCTGTTCACCATCGCGGTTGACCCGCAGATCTATGTCGCGGTGGCCCTTATTGACTTAGGGCAGCTCGCGTTCCAACGTCCATTTGGCCCGGCTGAGAATGCCGCTTGGCATGACTTGCTCGACTGCATCGTGTTGCATGAGCCTCAGCTTGATGTGGATGATGATCGCACCAGGTGGCGTCTAGAGCCCTCTGGTGTATTCTCCACTAAATCACTCTACCAGGCTATTGCCCCCTCTTCGGGACCTGAGACTCTTTCCACCATCTGGGAGATTCGGCTATCCCTGAAAATTAGGATTTTCTTGTGGCAATGGATCCGCGTCCGCCTTCCGTCCGGCGTGGAGGTTCTGAAATGAAATGGCCCCGGCGATGGGCGTTGTCCGCTCTACGAGCCTGAGGAAGATTCGGACCATATCTTCTTCACCTACATGTCCACGTAGCTCCTCTGGAGCTTGTTTCCGCGAATTAGTGGGTGGAAGCTGGGACCACAACAACTTCCCCGCTCTCTTCGCCGAACTCCAGGCACTTCCACCCTCGTCTCGCCACATTAGGTGGCTGACCATCGGTGTGCTTGCCTGGACGTTGTGGACTGTTAGGAATAAGCTTGTGATTCAGTGTATCTCTCTTCGTCGCGCTACTGACGCTCTGTTCAAATGGTCTGGTTAGTTGCAGCTTTAGCGGCCGTTTAGCCGCCCCAGGGAGAGAGACGCCATCACCTTCATCATCACCCAGCTTCACGCGATGGCTCTCCGGATGGCTCCACCGCTTCCCCCACCACCACTAGAGCTGGATTAGTTCTACTCTTCATCTTCGTCGCCACCGCCTTTTTGTTTGTGCGTCCCTTGTGTCTGTTTTGGGCTTGTTGTGCTGTGCCCACAGCTGAACCTGTGGAGTGTGTTGTTCGTGCGTGTTGGACCTTTGCCTGCGTTGGCGTTGGGTGTGTGTGTTGTTCGGATGTTACCTTGTTGACTTTGTGCTCGGTGGTTGCTTTATTTATAAAGCGGGGCGAAAACTTTTTTCAGTAAATAACTCATAGTGACCTACTTTTTCTCTTTTATGTCAAGATGGAAAAAACAATTTACAATTGAACCTTCTTCACGATGGTTTACCCTATGGTCGTTTCTTCTTGAAATATGCCTTGTTGTGGTTCATTGTTGACCTATGTTTGACGTGGCGGGCTGGATTGATTCATATGATTAGCTCGGGGTTATGTACCTGCATTAAGACGAAGAGGCCTGCTTCGGTAGACCCCCTCTCCACAAACCGTAAATCGATCTCAAGACCTCTTGGTCTAAGGACCACCACTCTAACCATCGAGGACACCCTAGGGCTTGTGCCTATTTACTTCTTTTTCTTATTTTACTCTACTACTGTTCGCGGCTAGGCTAGCTCATTTTGTTGAACCAGCCTGTTTATCACTATTTCTTTTACGTTTTCCCCTTTTTTATTTTCATTTTTTCTTTCTCAAGAAATGCTCACACATATTAAAAAAATCTCAAAAGTTCCAAAAAAGTTTGATTTTTAAAATTCTGTTCATGAAGTACAAATATTTGAATTTAAAAAATGTACATATATGTCAAAAATTATTCATTTAAATAGAAAAATTCTGACATCAATATAATTAAATTTCTGAACATCTATTAAATAGAAAAATTGTTCGTTCATTGTTTAATTAAACAAAAAATTTTGTTTATTGTTCATTAATTTAAATAGAAACATGCTCAGATAAAAAAACCGAACACTTCTAAAATTTCTGAACATCTAAATAGAAAAATAATAATTAAAATATATCAATTAGCGACCGGCTTATTTTTCAATTTTTTATTCTTTTTCATTTATGTTGTTTTTCATTTTTCATATTTTGTTCTTTTTCAAAAAAAATGCTCACATCAATATAATTCACCCAAGATTTTCCACACACTAGCATCACTATGACAAGCATCCATGATAATAATTTCATTGATTTTTGACATTTTAACATTTTCTAGGGTTTTTCGGTGAAAAAACTAAAAAACACTAGCCGAACATCACGCAACGTGCGTTCAGTGTCCGAATTATTCCAAATTTTGTATGGAGGCCTGCCATATTTATGGTCACATGCTGGCAAAATTTGGTACCATTTCATGCATGCCAAGAAGCACACCATGTTCAAAGGTGGTTAGGGTAGACCGGTACGGCAAGTCTGGATGCACTTTTTTCACATGAATAAAATGGACCCAATTTTTTTCCGCACACTAGCATGACCATTTCAAGCATCCATGATAAATTTCATTGAGTTCTAATATGTTATGCATTTTTCTATAGTTTTCCAGGTGAAAAACCCCTAAAACACTAGCCCAACGTGACGCAACTTGCGATAGGTGCCTGAATTCTTTAAAATTTTCCATGGAGGTCTGCCATGAGAATGACCACATGCTGGCGAAAATTGGTGTCATTTCATGCATGGCAAGAAGCACATCATGTTTAAAGGTGGTGGTTCGGGTAGGCAGGTTGGACAAGTCTGGATGCACATTTTTTATAACAATAAAATATACCCAAAAATTTTGCTCGCACTAGCATCACCATGCCTAGCATACATGATAAGTTCCATTAAGTTCTGACATTTTATGCATTTCCTAGGGTTTTCCTCATGAAAATACCCTAAAACACTAGCCGAACATGATGCAACGTGCGTTCGGTGTCCGAATTCCTTCAAAATTTTCACGGAGGTCTGCCATGAGCATGCCCACATGCTGACAAAATTTGGTGTCATTTCATGCATGTCAAGAAGCACACCTGTTCAGAGGTGGTGGTTCGGGTAGGCTGGTAGGGTAAGTCTAGATGCGCTTTTTTCCACAATAATAAAATAGACCCCTTTTTTTCCTCGCACTAGCATCACCATTCCTAACATACATGATAAGTTGCATTGAGTTCTAACATTTTATGATTTTTCTAGGCTTTTCCCGGTGAAAAAACCTAAAAACAAAAGCCGAACGTGACGCAACATGCGTTCGGTGTCCGAATTCCTTCAAATTTTGCATGGAGGCCTTCCATGAGCATGCCCACATGCTGACAAAATTTGGTGTCATTTCATGCATGGCAAGTAGCACACCATGTTCAAAGGTAGTGGTTCAGGTAGTCCGGTAGGGCAAGTTTGGATGCATTTTTTCCACATCAATAAAATAGACCCAAATTTTTCTAACACACTACCCTCGCCATGCAAAGTATCCATGATAAATTTCATTGAGTTATGACAATTTATGCATTTTCTAGAATTTTTTCGGTGAGAAAACCCCAAAATACTAGCCGAACGTAACACAATGTGTGTTTGGTGTACGAATTTCTTCAGATTTTTCATGAAGGCCTGCCATGAGTATGCCCACATGTCGGTAAAACTTGATGTCATTTCATGCATGTCAAGAAGCACATCATGTTCAAAGGTGGGGGTGTGGCTGTGGGGCAAGGCTTTTCTTATTTGCAATTTCTGTCAATATCAATCAACATGAACATCTTTTTATATCAGAATTATTTCTTGAAATTTGTCAGCAATTTTGCAATTCCAAATTGTGCATGAAAATTTTATAAACATGAACAATTTTTTCAAAATTGTAAATTCCAAAATATTGATGTTGTACGCAAATTGCAAACCACATACTTATTTAAAAATCTGTCAAAAATATTTGAACACAAACATTTATGAAATTTATGAAGAAAAATTGTAAAATGGGAACATTTTAAAAAAAATTCCAGTATTTTATTCTAATTAATAAAAAATATTTGAAAACAATAACATTTTTTGGTTTTCCAAAAATATTTCAAATTTAAAACAGGTTTTAGAATGAGTAATATACGATTTTTTTTGTTTAATCGAACAACAAATGAACAACTTTTCTATTTAATAGATGTTCAAAAATTTAATTATATTGATGTAAGCATTTTTATGTTTAGACGAAGAATTTTTTGACATATCTGTACATTATTTTGAAAATGCGAATATTTGTACTTTATGGACAAAATTTAAAACACTCATATATTTAAATTTTGAACAAAACTTTATAAGTGTGAGCCTTTTCTGAAAAAGGAAATGAAAAATAGAAAAAAATACAAATACAAATAACAAAAAGAAATAATGATGAAATGATAGATTCAACAATGGGGCGGGCCAGCCACGAACTGAAGTAGAAGAAAACAAAAAAAGAAGTTAATACTT